ATGGTCAATGCGCTTGAGGTCTTGAGCAGGCGGCACCCCCATATCTTCCAGGATTTGCTCAAGGGCTGCCGCTCGGTCTACCCCACCTTCACGGCCCGCTACATGCTCCGCCAGAGGAAGGTGAGATCCAAGCCCTCCAAGAAGACCGAGAAGTGATAAACTTTTTCAGAATTTATGTTAAGTTTGTGATTTAGGACTACAATGACTACAAGTCGCAGTAGCTCTTGGCTGGAAGTGGCGCCATCGCACATGCTAGCTGCTAATGAAGACGCTTTTCATGATTCAGCATTGCTGAGCAAATTTACGGAAGAGGGCCACTCTTCGACGTGAACTACTGTGATGCTGGATGCTGGTCTCTGGCCAGCTTCTAAATCATGTTGCGTCCTGCATGCGAGCAGCGCGAAACCTTCCCCAAACACGCCTGAAATCCTACGACGGCACTTCAGCCTTTCGAATTTATTGTGTCGGCAGGTTGTTTCGCCTCCCTCGAGTGGAGTTCTGCATGGGGTTGTCTGCAATGCAGCCATGCTTGCATCAGACGCAGCAGGACAGCAAGAGTAATGCAATTCATCTGCGGCAGCTGAAGGCAAATCAAACTTGCCGAGCCGCTCCTGTTTTTCAGAACTTTCGTTGTGGCCTATAGGGCATCTTAAGACTACTGCGTCGCAGTAGCTCTTGACTGGAAGTGGCGCCGTTCTACGTGCTAGCTAGTCCACACGCTTTTCATCAATCAGCCTTGCTGAACAGATCTGGACGAAGGCCACTCTTGGACGTGAACTATTGTCGTGTTGCGTACTGACTTTTGGCCAGCTTCTGAATCTTCGTGTTACCTCCTGCATGCAGGCACAGTGCCTGCTGAGCAGCGACATTTGCATCGCGCGCTGCAGGAGAGCAACGCCAGAGCAATTCATCTTTGCGAGAGCTTCCAGAGCCTCGCAGAGTCATAGGATGACATGGGCAACTAAAGGCGCATCGGACCTTTGGAGGGTTCCTGCTAGATTTTCAAGATGAGGCATGCAATGCAGATTATGCATGTCTGTTTTGGTGCTCGCACCTCAGCACCAGGACCCTCAGAAACTCGAACTGATGCCACACGCAAAGTCAAAGAGCGCCCGCTGATTGAAGCTGCATTTCTTCCATTTCGGAGAGAACAGCTCGGGTAGTCACGGAAAAAGTGTTGTGTGCAGGGGAAGTATGGCTGGATACAGCCAGCGGAGCCGATCGTCCATCAGAAGGCCCCGCCTCTGCTGTAAGAAGTCTGGCGCTGCTGGGGATCCTGTACCTGTTGCGAAAGCACCGGGACTGCATGGTTCCGGAGGCGAATCTGCGACAAGGGCGAATCTTTCTCAGCGGCTTCCTTGGCTTCCCCAGACAGGGTTTGTCCACAGACAATTTGATACTTGCCATGCTCGTAGTGCTGCATGCGTATGCAACAAACATGCTTGTTGTCTCATTGCCTGAGGTAGAACTGACTTAGTCGGCTGCCCAGGTCCTGCCACGCTTCACACCCACTACTTTGGGAGGGGCATGTGATCTCACAGGCTAAGGCTGAGAGTTGGTGGGGTCCTCACGTCGGCATTATGTATGCAGCGACCTGCGAGTAGCGCTCTGGTTCAAGCCCTTGGCCGTCTTCTGTGCCAAAAGGAACCCGGACATTGCAGAGATCATTGCAGGTGCGCATGAGAAGACCGACGTCGAGGGAGGGTCAGTTTCTTTGCAGTTGTTAAGTACCGCACCCTCATCATGATGAGTGTGAGTGTGAGTGTTGTTGTTGTTGTTGTTGTTGTTGTTGTTGTTGTTGTTGTTGTTCAACTTGACAGAGAGCACGATCAACGTTGGTGCAGCCCAGGCTACGGCCAAAGAAACCCGAAGATTTTTTGCACACCCGCATGGCCTTGTTCATCCCCCAGTTTCAGCTCAGTACGGTAATGGAGACTCATCCAGTCACTGGCCATGGCTCCTGCAGCTTCCGTGGCTTTCCCGGATGCGAATCTCGACCCCAAAGTGCAAGTTCAGGAGGCGGTGACAGGGTGTGAGCACACAGCCGAGACAATTGTGTGATTTGGGAGCCGGAACCAGAACATGAGTTTGAAGAGTATGCATAGTGCACATCGTCCATGTTGGCTTCCACATGCTGCGCTAACTTTAAGTCGTGGCTGAAGCCAACAAGGTTCGGAAAGCCTTGTCACGGCATATTCGGACGGGCTCGGATTCTGGCGTCCCACTCTTCGCCAACTGCCTTCAAGCTGGAAGAGATTGCCTTGGCCTCAGCCAGTAGGGCTTGAGATGAGTCCTTCTGGGCAAACCACCAGCTTGATGGATGAAGGCATTAATCGGCCTCAAGCCTGATGCCTGTAAGAAATTGTAGGGATCAGGCTCCATCAGGCAACAGGATCAATGTGCCAAGTAGTGACCCAGAGCGACCCTCACCCCTAATGCCAGTCCTGGCCTGCCATACTACTAGCTACACCCCATGCCACAGCCAATCTCCAGCAATGCGCTCAGCCTTACACGCCGCCGGAAACGAAGCCGTCACCCGAGCCGCGGGACGCGCATGAGGTCGCGCCGGAGGACAGGTGTAGACCTTGACAGGGCTTGGGGTTCTACAGCCTTACATCAAAGAACGGGCAGGGCCGAACTTGTAAACAGCAGCTGGCTTGGATATACAACGAGGAGAGACAACCGTGACGAAGACGCAAGGTTCAAAGCATAGGAAATGGCAATTGGAAAATGATGTGGAACATGAATTGAGACGTCATGCCTTGGTAGAGCAATCTTGAGGGTGTTTCTACACAACCCCATGTGTGGGTTTCTAGCTGCCATAATGGGAGTTTCGACTAGTACCAAATATGGCAGACTAACAGGCAGGTACCATAACATTTGGACGTTCTTTTTGAGTCCTCGTAGGAAGAAAGACGCCCCAAAGAGAGGAACAGACACGGGAGGTTGAGCCTGCCAAAACATGCCCGGCGCCGCCTCATCCAAGCAATGCCTTCTGCGAGGATTGGATTGATCCAGACACTTTTCCAGAAAATCGCGGGCCCAAAGGACCGAAGTCTTTTGGTCACACCAGGTAGGAGGGAGTAGGAGTTAAGTGAATCCCGTATCTTCCCGGAAAGGAGTAGTGCCATGGCTGTCACACTTGGGAGTCCGGCAAACAGCGGCTAGTGCGAAAGGTGCACCCTATATAATCATTATGTGGCCATGATATGCCATGATGGATCATATTTTGTCTATAATTCCAGGGACCATTTCATGTTCCATTACCTTTTCCGTTTGATTCTCCATTATCCGGTAATATCCACCCAAACCAAATTTGAGCGTTGACTTGAAGGCCCTTTATTGTGGTAAAAGACCGAAAGGATAGAAAGATAAGTCTTCGCAAAAGATTTGTGCTCGCACAGCAAAAGGTTTGTCTCAATGGTTCTGGGCTGCACCGGGAGCTAGCTATGACAAACATGTGCGATGGGCCCGCGAAAGTTTCGCAACGGCACACCTTTCGCAATGCAGGAATTTGATTCAAGGCACATATTTTATGATGCGTATATGCACCGCATAACCTTGTGTAATCCCAATAAGCCCGGTAGCCACCCTTGTTTGGCCAGAACTCAGAAATCCCCATGTTTTTTTAGCCTTCCTGCCAAGGCCTCACGGCTGCTCGGCTGATTTTGAGCTGCACAGAGCTCATGAATTTACGTGAAGGTAAGTAGGCTACGGGGACCCAATATATCAATACCCTTATCCCCTCTGGCCACTAATAGTTACTACTAGCAGGTGGGGTCCCCACTAATTAATGCATACAGAACTACGTCATCGCAATTTTCAGCGCTACTTCTAACGCCAAAGAGTTCAGCTTTGGGGGTGGAATGGAATGCAAGCAGGGCCTTGCATGCTTCATTGTGGGCCTACTTGCAACGGCTGCTTGCTGGGAGTCAGGGATGTAAAGCATATGACAATCCACCCTCGAAGATTCAGGTCAAAAGATGACATGCAAGAAAGGCATTGACTATGCTCAAACCTGTCCCATTGGCTGGAGGTATGTCCCCTTGGCAGCAGCCAGTGCCCCTTTTTAAACTGATTTGTTGGTGACCTGATTTCTATCCTGTTGCCAAATCAAAGCCGTTGACACCCACAGGTTCCCAAGGGTCTACAAGGGCCAGAGTGCCAAGCACCACCTACATTCTACACGGCACCCCTGGCTCGATTGATTTTCATGCAGGCAGAGAATCACCACCACATGTCTTTTGCTCGCGGACTGCTCTCTTCTTTGCCAAGCCTGTGCGCACAGATGCAAGGAGTCTGTGTGGTGCCGGCAGCAGCTGACACCTGAAGCACTGTAAAGTAAAGCAAGATATGGATCAGACTGACTGAAGGTGAGGAACGTTTCCTTTTCCTGTCGTGCTCTTCCAAGGACTCCCCGACAAGTTGTGCCAGCTCGCCTCGATGCTGGGGCCTCAACGCATGGCCTTGCTTGACCAGTCTTGACCTACCGATGCGCGCCATGAAGCTTAGTCCGCAACGTGTTCTACAAGGTGTAATCTATCGGCCACACGCCAGCTGCATGATGAACGCGCCTGTCACTGCAAGGAGTGGTCCAAGAAGGAGCTCTATGATGCTTGCAGCTGAGCCGGATTAGTAATTACCTGCAGCATTCATCTGCCTGTGCTACTCAGTCTCAATCTCGGCCCACCTGTTCCAGACGTCACTCAAAAAGAGCAAGCAAGCAATCAGAAGTAGTTGTGCCCTCGTCTGCAGCTATGAGGCCAAGAACCGTGCCCCACCCAAGCAAAGAGAGACCCAGAAGCGACAGGTTGGATTCTGTGGCCTTGCCGTGACGTGAAGCACGACTATCGCAAGCCATGTCCGCAAGGTTGGACCTGGGAGTGCCGCAGACTGCACATTCGTTCTTTGTGTTGTGGGCTTTGGGTCGAATTGCGGGAGGCAGGCACGGGGTTTCAATTTGGGGCGAATACTTCATGCAATCCTACTGTAGCCAGACAGCTGCCACAGGTCTGACGATTCGGCAAGCACATGCAAGCATCATGGCTAGTCTTGCACGTGCTGCTGCAGACGAAAGGGATTTTGAGTTCCCAGCTGTTTTGTTGGGTGTGCGGACGAGCGCCACCTGCGTTTGCAGACTGCGTGATGCGAAAACATCCATTCTCTCGTCATGTGCAGCATTGTTCAGCTCAGAACTTTGGGCGCAATGTCAAGAACCAACAGCTCGCAGCTGTCTCCAGACAGTGGCAGCCATGAGGGGGATGAAGTGCAAGGACAGCTACATCAGTACCGCGCACCATGCAGCAATATGGCCTAGACTGCGCAGTTCAAACAAACGCTCTACTTGAGAGCAGTGGTTTCAGAGATCCCTGCTCGTCCTGCAGCCATGCTGCAATCCGTGCTCACCAGTTTGGTTGGTTTGGTGGTGCTCCACTTCTACACTGCCAGGCCCGGAAGCCTGAAACATTGATGAGCTGCCGAGATACTTGCAGTAGCCTGAGTTTCTGAAGCACCTGTGACTATCGTGTGCATGGTTTGAGGTTGCTCTACTGGCAAGACTGGACACCGACCTTTATTAAAACCATCCGGAGCTGGAGACTATCTGGAGGACATGTCAAAAAGTCCGAAGATGTACTAGCTTGCATGCCACCTGTCTGCTTCGACATAATCTGCTTAATTCGTTCGTGGATGTTCGGGGTGTTGAGGGTTTGCGCCCCACAGCCCCTTTCCGGTGTGCTTTGATTTGATTGGCATGCCTTTGTTGCGCCCACATTTGATTGCAAAGGTCTGATGCACTCGCTGCAGGCATCAGTTTGGCAGGGAAGGCAGAATTCTGCTTAGCTGATCTCCTATTGATCATGCGGTTTCCCCACAGGCACCAGCCCTCGGGTGAGCTTCTCGGATATGTAGCGGCTTGTAGAGTGCAGAGAACTCCCAAGGCGGCATTTTTTTCTCCCTGCCCATCTTGTTTCCAATGGTGATGAGGGACAGGTGAAGTAATTGGGTTCTTCAGAGCTTGCTTTGCTTGACCCCTAAACAAGGAAGAAGTAGCTTTGCCGGCTTTTCGGGTAGCAGCTCAGGTGTTGCCGCTTTAGCTTTTGGAGCTTCTATTCTGACTCGGTGCGCGTATTGCATTGGCGCCAGGTTTCCACAGACTTGCGATGGGGTCTGACGACGGGAACACACGGGAAAAAAAACTGCTAGCTTCAAAAGAGCACGGTTTGGCCGAGACATGCCATGGAAGTAGTTAAAATGCTGTGGCCTTGCATATGAGCCAACCAGGCCCTTATCTCCCTTGCTGCTCACAGTAATTCGGATCTGTGCCGAGGCATCAGAAGCGTGAGAAACTGTTGAAGGAGACGGCCAGCGTGTCTTGGCAACATGTTGCGTTACTTCCGTCGATTTCCCTGCCCAGAACCGCATTGGGTTGAGCGTGGCCGACTTTGTGTCAGAGGATGGTGCAAGTTGAAGCGGATCAGCCTGCATATGCCTGCATGTCAAGGTTTGGTCGGTCTTGATCGAATCTTTCTGGCTTCCTTACTTCTGCGTTGCCGCTTGGACTCTACAGACGGACCATCGCCAACACGCCAGGACTTTCTCAATGTTCGCTGAATTTCTCCCAAGGCAAAGCATGTCCCTGAGGTGAATTACTCTGCCTGGGGTGATCCCTCGCAGCTGCCTTGCTTCTTGAGTGCCTCGCTCAAGAGACCTACAGGGCGTCTCATTTACTGGCGCAGGAAACTAAGTGTCATGGTAGTGAATGCTGAGCAGTGCCTCGTGCGGAGGCGGTTTCGTCGTGGTGCCCGCTTTGCACAAGCTCGCGAAACCAGATGTGAAACTGACAGCTGCTTGACGGACTGACAGTCACACAAAAGAGTCGGCTAAAGGCCCTGTAGCAGACCCTCCAACAGCACTCCCTACTCTGAACTTGCAGCAAAAACAGGGTAGAGAGTTCTTTCAGCTTCTTTTGCTCAGGCTGCAGTGATGCAGCAATTTACCCTCAGCACGTACCTGGCAATTCTTCTGTCCAGCGTGGGCTTTCCAAGGGAGCCTGGGACCTGCAGATGTGAAGTTCGCAAGATGGACTCATTAGAGCATGCTGGAACACCAAAGGGGCCACTCATCTGTCTTCTGAGCCGGAGCACTTTGGCATGCCTTGAGGAGCTGCTTCCCATTCTCTACGTGGCACGCATCATGCTTGGCAGCTTTTGCACCGATGCTCGTTTCTCGAACATGGTGAACATCCTCATCGCGCCACTGTGCCTGGGTCAGAGCAGGTGAGATTTATTGGAGTTTCTGCAAATTTCGTGTATGAAATCAACAGGTGGGTGCTTTCTCATTGGATGCAGAAGGACGCACACAAGGGAGGGAGGGCCAGTAAGGCACATAATCATGACCTCTGGCAGGAACAGGGGCCACATACCGGTGATGATGGCACATGTGATATGATCCTGGTCAACATAATTTTCTTCTGTTCCTCGAAGCCATGTCGCTAGCATTGGCTTCAGACCAGCCAGGACAATGCCGAGATAGCTCATCTCATTTACTATGTCATCTCGGAATGCTTAACGGTGTCTCGGCCATTCTAGTGCACCGTGTCAAGGCAGTTCTTGGGAGACCAGGAAGCTTGTGTGAATAGCTGGCCTAGGTGGGAGTGACAGCATTGGCTATTGGCACGCTGAACGACAAGGAGTACGAAATTGCCGCTGCAAACATGCAGCTAGAAGCAAAGGCCAGGACCTGGTGATTCTGGAAATCTTTCCAGGAGAGTCATGCTTCTTCAGTGGCCCAGCAAAGCAAGTGAGATCAAAATCGTACGGGAAGTCTCCCGCCCCGTAAAGCCCGACTGAGCTTAAAACGATGTATAGCGCCGAATGTCTGAGCGCTTTGTCGTATGAAGCCAACATAAACCAACACAAAAGTGGGCGCATGCTGGCTTTGGACTTGCTAGGTGAAGGAGGTGGAAGAGGCAGAGCGGTCCGGAAGTGCTGCGCAGCGCCTGCTAGCTGTCACCTGTGACGCGTTCGCACGGCTCACGACTGACCTCAGGAGCTCACCATGGAGGGCGAGGGCAGGGAGGGCAGTGAAATTTTGAGCTGATTTTGGGATTGGATTGGGTTGTACGCAAGGTTCTAGTTTGACGTTCAATTATGACCGAGTGCCAAGACTCGACTGGGGATGCTCGAGGGGCATCAAGCACTTTACTTGCAGCTGAGATACTTCAGGATCGTGGATTCCTCGCACGGCCTGTCAGACCTGCTGATGTGCGGCTTTGGCTCTGCTGCAAGCAGCAACCTGGAAGGTGGGTGAGGAGTTCCACATTGTTACATCAGTAGCGCAGAGCTGGCAAAGCTTTCGTTGGCAGCCTATTGCCCCAATGCCTAAGTGCTGCTCCAGGTGCTCACTTCGGGCGCTATGTGGCAGCAGGCTCGGCCCGACTGCCGGACTGCAGTCATCCGTGTGCCAGGCCTATCTGCTATGACAAGCTCATAGACCTCGACTCGTTGACAGGTGATCAGCAGCGCCTGGCAGACTTCATCAGGGAGTCAGCTCAGGGAGATGCCCCGCCACGGCTGCGTATCTCAACATTAGCAAACTAGCAACTGCATGCAACTGCAATCCTACTCCGAGCAGTACAGCCCGAGGTCCATGCACCTCCAAATGAAAGACTCCAGTGGAATTTCCTTCAATGCCGAGCTCTTCCACGTTTCCGTTCCATCGTTAAGGACGGGCCCATGGCTTGTCATGTCAGTCTGCGTTTGCTGATACAGCGCTGCATGTGCTCGACGGCCGACATCACACGTTTGGAACAGTTGCAGTTCTTGCAGGTCGGATGAGCAAGAGCACCTGATCGGGATCAGTCAGGAGTGCTTTCAGCATGAGTTCGCAAATCAATGCTGAGCAAATGTGCACGGAGCTGCTTGTTTGGGTGAGAGTTCTTGAGTGGATGTTCTTTGCCGGAATGGGAGACATCAGCAATTGCTGAAACAGTGGCCGCGGGGCTGAGAGTGACCCAAGTTCTGAGAAAAAAATGCGTGCTCCCGGGCCCCTCTTTGAGGCTTGATTCCAGTTTTGAGGGTCAGCGTCAGGAGCATGCAGAAAAGATGGGGATAGGAGAATTGAAGCAGCTTGGCTTGATGATGCTTGATGTATGGGCAATCAGTCAAGAAGTCCAGCAAGTTGCCAGCCTTTTTCGTGCCATCGCCCGAGGCACGATACATTTGACCGCACGTTGCGGTCACATGCTCCAGCACCTTCCTCCGACATGCGGCACATCCTTGGAGCCTTGTTTTGGCTGGAAAATGATGTAGGACGTGTCACGGATTGTAAATGGTTCGTTCTGTTTTGTTCCGTGATTTCAATGCTTGCAATTTCGGTTGTGTGGTATGCTTTCGGAAAATGCTTGGAATTGCACTATGGCTGGAGGACCATGATGAACTCTAGTATCGCTCATGTCTATCGTTTTTGGGGATTGAAGGGCTGTGGTACGCCTAACTCCGTGTGAGCCTGACCCCATAACCTTCCGCAAGCGTGACATGCAGGCTTGTGCGTGCATGGGCTGTTTTGCCAAGAGTCACGTCCACTGTCTGCAGCTTATCCAACCTCGAGGTGCGCGAGTCAAGGGCGGTGGCAAGACGCGACTTGGCCCATGCACAGATGGCGCTGGATGTCGCATACTGCATACCCCATTTCAATATATTTGAATTTTGCTGGTTCCTGCTATGGCTGGTGCTTTGGTTACGTCGCGCGGATGTACAGTACAGTAGTTGTTTGTGAACCTGGCCTTCGCAGACCAAGCAATCCAATCAAGACAAACGAAGCGCCAATCAAAACAGTTTGGATTGATGGTTCACAGTGCAGAATTCCAACTACTAAGTATGTCCAAGGCCATCCGCAGAGAGCTTGTCCAGCAGGACGTTCTAACTTGGGCATTGGGAATGTCACTGCTTTGCATGACAACTGCATCGCTTTTAAGCAACACTTGCGAAGAGGAGCAGTGGCGGGAGCACGTCCCGCAGCAGTCGGACTTCGAACCTGGTTCGTCTTCGCATGCTTGAGCCACTTGTCTACTGCTTGAAGTAGGTCCTGGAAGGATCGACTTTAAGTTTGCTGCGCTACAAAGGAAGGTAAACTTTGTCATCGATGTCCAGACGCTGCATGATGACTTCGTGCTGCGCTCCGTGAAGCTGTCGTTCAAAGAGACAGAGAAGTGCCCAAAGCAGCTGGGGCGCATGGTAAAGATTGGAAGGGGGTGCGGGGTGTGGCAGGGCCAAAGCTGGGGTTTGGACGCTGCCGGGTCAAGTCAGCAGACATCTCTTTGCTGACCTAGGTCAGCCATGCCCAACCTGCTTGAGTGGATGAGGCCAAGCTACAGGCCAGTGTTGCAGATTATTCGCATTAGGATGATGGGCTTTCATGCGGGCTGCTGGGCTCCTCATGCTTTCTGACAGCACCTCTCTGCCAGGGACACGGTCTTCAATTGGGTCCAGGCACATGCCAACGCCTTCTACACTGGACGTGAGTGTCAGGAGAGAACGCAGACGAGTTGGTACTGCTAATGGCAGCGAAGACTTCTTGTTATGTGCTGACATTTTGACACGCAGGGCCTTTAAAGTTGATTGACCATCTGTGCGGAAGTATCCATTTCCGCTGCAGCCTTGAGATCACCAGGATATAGCAGAATACAGGTGCAGCACACAGCCTATTTCCAGTCTGGGTGCGTATGGGTACCAGACTATGCCAACAAAGTGCAGAATACGTTGGTTGTTCTCATTTTTCTTGCCTTCCAGAGCATGAGTGGCTTGGCAGGAGTCCCCTCTACGTGGGGTGAAATTATTCTCGCCCATGGCTTCTGCAAAAACCATCTTGGCTGGAGACGCTGGTCAGCAAGCAGGTGCGTTGTCGCGCATGATTCCCTGCGTGCTTCTTGATAGCACGCTTATCCTTTCCATCGCCTGCATCTGCTTTGAGATGCTTTGTGACTTGCAGGGACCTTCTATAGACCTTTGTCCGTCAAGTGTCGACAGCTCGAACGTTGTTGGTTCTGCGCAGGGCACTGGTAGAAGATTGTCTGACAGTTCAGCTGACAGGCTTAGTTCATCACATGGGCTTGGCTTGGATGGACCTGAACTTGAGCGCCTGCTGCGGTGTCTAACGCGAGAAGACCATTTTTTCACTCCATGGTGCCTCAGGGCCTCATGCGGTGGTCAGGCTGCGCTTCGCTCAGAGTGTGCTGAATGGAAACAATCTGTCATCATCTCTCGTCTCTCATTTGCTCCCATCGCCCAGACGTGTGTGAGTGTACCTCACGAGCTGCTCATGCTTTCTACCTCCGGTTGCTGAGGTTGGATAGCATAAGCCATTAGACCGCTGCAGGTCAGCAAAGTAGTTGTGCTACTGCGGAAGTTGGGGCAAAAAGTGGTGCCAAGGCTAATATGACTTCTCTTGATAAGAAGTGCTGCCAGCCAGTGGCACAACCTGTCTTCTGCCTCTTGAGAGTACCTTAAGGAAATGACAGCGGTTGAAATGACTGATACGCTGGACGATCATGAAGAGGAGGCAGAGGCAAAGTCGGGAGATGAAGAGGAGCCAAGCGAAGATGGCACCTTGGCAGACAATTAGCAACATCATGGTCTGTTTTGCTTGCAGTTCCCAATCGCATATGTGCACAGTTGATGTGATACAACGCGTTCATTGGCCTGGTCGGTGCGTTGTCGTTTGCCAGGTGAGATGTACATGAACATCGAGCTTCGTCAGCTTTTTGCACACTAGTTTTTGAAGACGAGGTTCTCGCGAGAGTTGGGCCAAGCCCAGGGCAAGCCCGTGCAAGTCAAGGTTAGTGTCGCATGTAGATGAGTGATGCGAATTGTTGAGGGTGGAGGGAGGTCTTCCTCTTTGAAGCCACCCAGTTTTACCCTTGAGCAAGCATGGCATTGCCCTGCTGTGGTCGCAGCTGTCCTTCGCGCGAGTGGCACCGGGCCACGTCGCCCGTGCAGTTGTTTATCTGAGAATTGTCCAGAAGAGTCCAGAAGCTTGCCTGTGTGCCGCCGTTCTCTTTATGACGGAGAGGCGCTAGCAGGGGCAGTTCTTTCATTCCACCACCCCCTGCAGTGTGTCAGTTTTTGGAGTTCCATGTCAAAAGACAGCGTTTCACCCTTGCCTAAGTTGATTCAGCCATGTTTTACGTTGGAAAAAGCGCCCGAGATCTGACGTAAGGCATAAGCATCAGCTGCAAGGGCACTGTAAATCCCGGAAGTTGCTTTGCTGATAGAAGGCAACGACGTATTCAAAATACAACGCATGCAATTCATGCATGCATGGCATTTATGTGTATATGTATATATGGCGTGCGTGCTGCAGTGCTTGCGCCGTGCTCATGCGCTCTCAACGTGTATATATGCATATGTTTATCTACTCATTTTTTACTTATGTATGTGTTATTTACGCGTGCACGGGTACGTGCGTATGCGCGCATGTACACGGGTCGTTGTATTTTTATATGTGCATGTTACGCGTGTGTATGCTTGGGTGTGTATGTAGGTACGTACGTCGTAGGTATCTATGCGTTGCTTTATGAAAGTATGCATGTATGTTATGTATGTACGTCTAGAAATATGTGAAAGTTATATGCACGCGTACGCATAGCTCTGAAAATGTTTCGTAAGGCAAGATGGAACCTGCTCTGCACCGTACTTCTACCGCGGAACATGCCCCTGGAGCGTGAACCTCCTCCACTACACCGAAGGCATGAAGGCCTCCTGGCTGCACTGAGATTGCAAGCGAATTCAGGCGCGATTTGCTCGCAGATACAGGCCTTGCAAACGGAGCTTTGCTTCGATTCAAAGTCCCGCACATTAAAAAAAAAGAACAATGCACAACCTCCAATGCTCAGGCGACCTTTGCTGCAAACTGCGGCGCCGGGCTGCCCAGATAAGATGGGTCGTCTACAGTGACCCGCGCAGCTTTTTCAAAGGATTCCCAAGCAGAATTGAAAGTGCAGCAGCTGTGCAACACTAATCCAGAGCAGCAGCGCCTCATCAAAAAAACACCACCTTCTTGAGCCTGTTTGTAATGTTGGCAAGGTGGGGTGGCCACTGGAAAGGGGCTACGAGGGGCAGCCAAAGCCGCTGCCAGCCAAATACCCCTCACATGCACCGGTGGCTGCCACAGCTTTGGGAATGGTGCCTCCGTGTTGCCCACTAGTTAGCCATGTTGCTCGCCCAGGGTCGAAAGCCTGCATGGGAATGCAAGCGCAACTTCATGATGGACTGCCCTGATGGCTTCTACTTCGATGGAGCCATGTGCCATGAGGCTCGGTGACTCAAAGCTTCACTGTCTCAGTGGTGCTGTGATGATGCAAGGATGGAAGCTACATCGGGGCAAACATGCAACTTGGAGTAGAGTTGCTCAAGAAGCCGATTTATGCTGATTGTGCTCTTCCGCCAGAGCATGTGTTTTGCAAGCTTCAGCCAAGGAAGAATTGTCCGAGCCTCATTCATCATGGAACGCACATTTATGATCAATGTTTGGCTGCTTGGTTGTTGAACTTTGAGCGTGCCATGCCCCTACAAAAGTGTCTGGCCGTGAGAGGCGCTCATTTCGACCCGCGCCGCTGGACAAATGAGATGAAGGCCACCCAGTGCGCCAGTGCCAAGCCAGCGCAAGAGGTGTCAGCACAAGGAGGCGAAACAGAGAGAGCAGATGAGGATAGATGAGGCGAAGGGTCGCAGATACATACACCAGCCTCAAACTGAAACAATGTTCCATGGGAACCAAGTGTGTAAGTGAGCGACGACGCGTGATAACAAGAGCTGCGTCTAACTACTGCAGAAGGTTGCATGTGAAAAAGTGGCACGTTCTCAGGAAGCCTTCTCAGCTCACTGCCACGTTTGGTGGCCCTGCAATCAGGCCATACGGTGGTTCCTTTGGAGGGTCTGGTTCAAACATAAGGACATTGGAGACTGTAACCGCCATGAAATTCTGTTGCGCGGCTAGATTATCTTGCGTTGCCCTGGACTCTCTGGAATGCAAACTGCAGCGCGCATCCCGTAGCCTGCTTTACCAGGCTGCTGGTGCCTCTGGTACGCGGACGCTCGCCAATGGGCCTTTGACCCGTCGCTTGGGAGAGTGTGCATTTGATGTAAGGGGGAACGCAGAGCTTCGATCGACGTTTGTGAATCTCATCATGCATTGAGCATAAACACTTGAGAGCGACTGCCATATGCGCACGCACTTCGCAAGCCTGACGTACCTGGCTCCATCACAGAAGCGCGGATTCTGCTGCCGCTGCCCGCAGCGGCGGTTCTTTGCCCGGAGCTGGCGCCAAGCTGCTGCCGTCGCAAGGCCGACGCTGCTTCCGAGAATGGGGGTACAACCCCATGAAATGCGGACCTCATGGCAGGCACTCCGGCGGTTCCTGTGACTGCCCACGCGTCCCGAGACAAGGAGACAGCAAACAAGGGCAGGGGCAAAATGAACGATTTGCACTTTGCTGCAATGTCTGTTTGACTCAAACTGACAGCAGCTTCGACACTACGCTTTTTCCTTCGGCCGCACAGCTGTCTCGCGCGCAAGCTGCTCTGAGGCCCACAAGCTCGCGCATGCACAGATGTCTGTGAAGCTACATTCATTCCAGTCCAGGTCAGCTTTCCTCACAGCTGCACCTACAATTACCTTGGGCAAAGTCTTGTGGCTTTGTGCATGACCTTGCGCCTCGTGGCTTTTCATAACTGCAGTATGCTGCGTGCAGCTGTGTGCCCTGACAGCATGCACATTGGGCATTGCCACGGTCTGCGGTTGCTGATTCAATCCATTTGAGAAGAGAAGATTTGGTAGAGGCTCGTAGAGGACATGGAATCGACTGGCCCAGTGATCCATGTTCATTTGGCGTCTTATGCAGAAGGGCGGATGGTGTTGCTGTAAAGACAGCGCAAGGCTGATCACGTTGACGGGAAAGAGCTGGACGGAAGGATCCGCAGGCTCTCCAGCCAAGCATTGCGAGAAGGATTTTCCAATGTAGAGCCAGAACTGTGCCACTGTGTTGCGGAGGGATGTCTAAGTGCAACTCCTGCAGCCAGGTAGGTACTTGAGTCGTTGCCTTATGCTCCACATTTCGCAGCTCTGCTTTTTTTGTCTGTTCATCTTGATGCTTCCGCAAGCTGTGCTTCTGCAGAACGCAGGGTCCCTACCTCACCACGGCCGACCGCCCTGCAAACACCTATTTGTTAGCCACAGTGTGCGCCATTTCAACGTTTCCCTGATACAAGTTGCCAGGCTTCGTGGAGAGCAAGGACCGGCTCCACAGCGTGCAGCAGTCCGACATCCCAGACCAGGCATTGGTAACCAAATTGATGAGCTTGAACCCCTATCGGCCGTCTCCGAGGCCTAGGCACATGAGCTTGTAAGGCAGCAGGACAGCTTCATAGGTTCAGCTGCGTGAGGTGCAGCAAAATCTTGGAGTAATTGGCGTGGTGCTTGGGCAGCGTTGTTATTTGGACAGGGCTCTGGACGGCGCGTGCTGTGCGGGATCAGTGCGGCAGCTGCAGCTCTGCTGACCGCTGCGCGAAGGGCAAGGACACGGCACTTGCATCTTTCTCATGACTCATCCTGTAGGTTCTAGAAGCAAATTGTGCGCCTCTTAGGCCGCGACGTGCATCTTCCATGCAGGACCTCAATGAGAGCCTCGGGAACTCCAACATCTTCGCAGAAGCACCGCCGCAAAAATTTCACCTGTTTGTTTCCAGCTGGAAAGGGGGCAGTCCCTTGTTTGGACGCATTCCAGCGAGAACTGATGATTGCATTAGTGAACAAGTGGTGACAAGTGCAAATGGATGTTTTTTTGGCGATGATGGTTGACCCAAAGAAGCAGTGAACGATATGAGCTCTGCATGAGGAGCAACCGGAGTCTGCTCAAATCGCGGGTTCAGATCATAGGCTCGGATTTTTGTGATTTGGTTTTGCGGTTAAAGAGCTTTTGTTTCGGGCCTCGCCACCTTGTCAGAGCTGCTTTCCGGAGGCTCCTGCTGCTTAATCATTATGCAGTATGCCCTCCTCCAGATCTTCAGCATCTACAGCTCTGAGCTCCTGGAGCCAGGCATGACAGCAAAGCGCAGCTTTCAGAGCTTTGAGTGTGTCGTGTTTGACCTGTCAGGGGATGCGAATCAGCTCTATGCCGCGGCCAACTGGGGCGCTTGCTTCCTTGCGGCCCCTGCAGGACCGGTGGGCAGCTGCAAGCCATAAAAGATTCGACGTGGGTCAGGCTTCCTGATGCTGTTTGCGTTCTTCTCGGGCCTTTTGTGGTGCAATAGATCAACTGGTCAGTTGTCAGTTGCCTGGCTGACCCTTCCGATGGTAACGTAATTGTTCTGAGCCCTGCTCCGTTTTTCTGGGACCAATGCCACTGCAACGACTTCACACGCGGTTTTTTGAGCGGTCATAGGTCATAGGAGAAACGTAAACACATATTACAAATAGTTTTAAAATGCTTTAAATGAGCAAGAATGAATATATGTATATATATATATATGATGTAAATATACGCGCATTCAGGATGGACATTGGATTCGTGCCGGTGGGTTTTTGTAGTTGGAAAACGATAAGGCAGAGTCTTGCAAGGCTTGGCTCAGGGCTCTTTTGGAGTGAAGATTTGGCTCACGCTTTTTGGGTTATGGTGTAGGGGGCCTCGGGGGTTTAGAGTTTGTGTTGCCCTTTGTGCAAAACCAGGTCGGACCTTTAAACAAGAAACGGGCTCAAACGATAACACATTCAGCAAAAACAACAAGGTCAGCACGTACCTTCAAATTGTGAAAACGAAGCACAGTCACGAATCTTCCAATGGCCATTTCTGATGACCATAGCCCGGAAACCAGTCCAAAACCACACATCACTTACAACACTCTTACAACGTACAGGGCGAAGATCTCGGCAACTCTATAGGCCAAGATGGGTTTGAGCACATCAATTCTTCCGCAGCGAAGTTACTCGTGCACTGTATCACCGAGCAAGGGAGGCAGGCCCATGGTTAAACTCATCAAGCGGAGCACATGGTGGCCTTGGCAGCTTTGTGTTGAACAGAATAGTTTGACAGGCCTCGTACCGACATACACGTTGCAGGCCATGACATCAAAGGCTAGATTCAGCAGGCCTATTATAGGCTGTGTGCTGTACCATGCTATTGCCGGCAAAGTACTTCAGGAATCGTCTTCGACGCTCTTGGCCCCGCTTGGTGCGCAACTGGGGGGCTGTTCAGGTAGACATGCTTGGAATGTGGAGTGGTGGTTACATGGAATACATGAGGGCGATTGTGTACAGCTGATGATCGCCTCAGCAGCTAGGCAGCGAGCCCGTGCTCCGTTCAAGTCTGTCTTGATGATCAGGGGCTGTCTGCTTGGTGGGCTGTGCAGCAGTTTGGGCGTCTCGGCTTCATCCAGACGGCCTGAAGTATGGTACATACTGGACTCCACAGGTTTTGGGGCTTGGCCGCAGTTGACAAAAAGCTGGGCAGGCTCGGAAGTCAATTTTGCTTAGAGTTTCTGATGCTGTCCACCTCTACCAAATGGGAGTCTTGTTCTAGTTGCCCATGGCACGTCAACAGCGTCCGATGATGCAAGATTACAGTGTGTGCTTCATGCCGTGGTAGGTCCAGGATGATGGGATTATCCCGCCACGTTTTTGCATCTTTTTGCAAGGTATGGCTGGGGCTGCGGCATCGTTGTTTGGCACACCCAGGCAGTCATCCTGTGCGGTTGCAGCTGCATGCACACGCATGCTGTTGCCCACACCAATCTTCAATCCCACAAATGAAACAATATAAATACTTGAGGTCTAGATTCTTGTTCGCTCTGTTTCTCACTTTCCTTTCTCATCTTGCTCTCTCTCCCTCTCTCGCTCCCTATCTCCTCTCTGCCCTTCTGTCTTTCTCCATCAAGGGTTCTTGCGTAGGTCGTTTGATCCTGCAAGAATGCCGCAGACAACAAGAAGACCAGATTAAAGCATCTGGCATTTTGACTCTGACAGGATTTATCCCGCAATGGCGGGATACTTCCTCTTCGGCTTCGGGGCCACTCTTCTGAACACTGACGCTCGCTTGCAATGGCACTTGTCGTAGTTATGCCATCAGTAGCCCCCATGTGCTGGGCTCTGTTTCTCTTCCCGCCGCTGCAAAGCAAAAGCTTGTGGGCCAAAAGCTGGCAAAAAGTGCGGCTTGCGGTTGATGATGCAGAGGCACCCAAACTGCCCAGGGGGTTGTGGATTCAGCCTGAGGAAACTCAGCAGTCCAGCCAGAATCTTTTAGTGGGCCCTGCCTAGGAAATCGCAGACGATCATTGTGAAATGTTGACTTTGCAAGCGGAGCTATCCAAGGTATCCGTTCTGGCTGCAGTGCGTGCTGCACCACCAAAGCAGTCTGGAAAGGTCTCTGCAGGTGTGCTGTGCTCGCCGCTCGATTGCTAAAGATATTCTTCAGCTTTTATCAATGTGGGGACGGCACGACAAGTTCTTGCAAGGCTGGCCATAGGGATGAGCCTCCACACGGCCGTGCATGCGCAGTGGTTTCGTGTCTTGGCGCCACTAGTTGTAGGGAGATGTAGGGAGCTAATGCAAAACGATGCAAAATGCGAACGTCAAGTGACTAGTGTATGTACTGAGAATGAGAATGGACTTCTGAACCGAGACGGCGCGCCGTTCAGCTTTCTGTCCTACCAGATTGCCTACAGCCTGCTGAGTGGCATTCTGGGCCTGGGCAACAGTTTGACCTGCTTCAATCTTCAAACTGGCATGCTGCTGATGGGGTTCAGGCTTGGCACAGGTAATTAATTCGAATGCTGGAGTGGATTCACTCCTTTGCGTTTGCTGCAGTGATGCACAAACAAAGCAAGGATTCCTCGTGTTCCGCTCTTCAGCCTGGAGCGCAGTGGCAGATTCGGCCGCAAGCGAGACTGGCTGCTTGGCATTAGGTTGCGGGGAATCACTCGGCCTCAATGGGCTTGACAGCCGCAAGGCGAATCTTCGAGCACATCAGTGGCGACTGAGCCCAAGTCCATGGCGGTGAGGCTGTTTCATCGTTTCTTTTTTTGGGGGGAGCCAAGGGACTTGCCCTACCATGCGTCCTGAGCTGCCAAGACTCCTGTCTGGGTGTTTCTGGTTGCATCAGCAGAGTTCTGGCAGCACCATGCATAGCAAGTTGAGCCTGGGGCCTGGCATGCAAAGCTGGCAGCCAGCTAAGACTTGACGCAAAGTGAATGTTGAATTCCAGTCGTGCTTGGTCTAGAAGATAGCTGCTATTGAAAGACCCGACAGGATTTGGAACATCGTACTGGCGAAGGACTGAGACATCGCCTTTGCATGAGCATTGGCTACCGTACTTCCAAGTATCCTCGTGGCGAAATATGCAGCCAAGCATCGCCAGCGTGCTAGGAGTTCCCATGGCTGGCAGCGCTGCACTTGATTCCAATAGCCTACTCGTTTGCTTGGCTTGGAAACTGGTCTGTCCCCCGGCGAATTCATAAAATTCATTCATCTGAACCGGATACACGGAAGGACCGGGTATGAAGAACTTTCGACGGGTCTGTTAGGAGTATCTAGCGGCTGTGTCAGCAGTAAACATGTCGTTTCCTGTCGTCATTGTGAAGCTGGAATGCACAGGTCTGCGCAGAACGGCTGATGATCCCCGAGGAGGACTTTGGGTGCAGCAAGTTGAGCTCTTGCAAGGACAAGGTCTAGGAATATGTCAAGACGGCATGCATAACACGAATTGTGGAAGTCTTGGCTATTAAGCAGTTAAAGTGCATGTGGTCTTCGCAGGATCGTACTCGCATTGGCCTTGGATTAGGGCTATTCTCAGCAGCCGGTCGACGCTTGTTTGATGAACGTTAGAGTCGGCTCTTCGAGTTAGTGCTGCTATTCGGTCAACTTCAGTGAAGCCAAGGACTCCTTTTCGGATTCATTGGCGACTGGGCTCCCGGGGGACGAGGATTGTGCACGAAGCCTTCCTTTCAGCATCACCTCGCTTTAACTGTTGCCGTGTACTGTAATTGCTGTGCAGAAGAGAGAGGTTGAGCCTTCAGGACGTATTGGACTTGAGCTTGGATTTGTTGGCAGCATCGGCTCCTTGGACACCTCTGGTCTTTTTGATTGTTGCTTCTGTGGGAGTGAAATCTCTGTGGAAAACTACAATCAATGGGTTTGGATTTGATTGGATTTGATGAGCATGGCTGGCTGCTACAGCATTTTTATGCTGGACGCTTTGGAACCTACAACCCTGCGAAAAGGTTTGTTCCAGCTGGCTTTCCTGCTTCTAGAGCGCCCCTGGGTCGCAAGAAGCACCAGCCTCGTGTGACTCAATCCCGTGCATCACACTCGAAATCCAAACTTCGCAAGGGAGTCGTTGCCTTTGTGCAGCCCTGACAGTGTGCTAAGTACCTGCACCCCTTCTGCGTCATGTCCAAATCTGAGCTGCACGTGTCACAAAGGCCTTCCAATCTCATGCAATGGTCAGACAGGACCCATAGGCAATCAATCAAGCAATCCAATCTTTTTCTCACCGCGTGCTCATCCAAGACGATCAGCGGACCTTCTTTGAGCTCGCCATGCAGCCTCTGAGCTTGCTTGGGCATTAATGTTGGACCCTCTTTAGTATGCCCCCCTCAACAACTGACTGTTCGCTTTAATGCCGCACAATTAAGATCCATACAAAAGATGAATCTCGGTAGTAACCTTAAAGCTGGTATTCAATTTTTGTACTAGTGAGAGTACTGGCATTACCACTAGCATGAAAGTCTATCTTACGCGCAATTAAAGCAATGTCAAACAAATTAAACAACATCTAGTCAAATGCAGTTAAGATCCAATCAAAATCCATGAGCACGCATTTCAACTCGATTAAAATAAATCAATGAACTTCAATTGGAAGACGTCATTTGAGATTCAAGTAGAACCAATTGAAATCGAATTTATGTCCAATTACATCCTATTCAATATCGATTGAAATCCGACTCGAATCTAATTGAACTCCCATTCAAGCTGCCAGTTAGAATCAATTTAAAATCAACTTAAGAGAAGCTGTCCCGGTGAAAACTTAGGGGGCTGGAAAAGTGTACTATTATTCCGAACCACAACATTTGCTTGAAGAGGATCCGGGCCTCTGCTGGACTAGCCCCCACAACAGTTGACAGCTCGTATGCTTTTGTATAATCCCGGAAAAAGCAGTTTATATGGAGCTGGGGTCTCTGAGTGTACGGATTTTTTTGGATTCTATAATATCAGGCCAGAGCTCTGAAACTAACATCCGCTGGAAAGGTGTATTATTAGTCTGTGCTGCACTACCCCCACAAGACTTGACGGCTAGTATGTTTTGGTACAATCAATCTGGAAAAAACAGTTTACATGGAGCTGGGGTCTCTGAGTTTATGGATTTCGGCGTAGCTGATATCTGGCCTTATATAGTTGTTTGATTTTTTGCATTTTTGCCTCGACTATTTTTTACTCCGACCCCCTCAAACAATACCAGGATCTGACTATTTTTCTGGACAAGTCTATGGTTCCGACCCCCTCTGCAAAAGCGGGTCCAAGATGATCACGGAAGGGAGGTTTGGATAGCTCCAGAACAGAGCATGGCTGGAAAGCTGTCATGGCGTTCCTGTCCCTGATGTCGACTCAGGCTCCAGTGCTTGGGCTACGGCGGTCTGCTCTGTTTGGCGCCGGTTGCTCTTCGCGCGGGATTTCCTGTCGAGGTATTTTGCAGCAGGGAGTTGGCTAAATGACCGATGCAGATTGAGATTAACAATCCTGGCAGGACTTGGGCACCAGCTTCGGGCTTCTTTACCAATTGCTAGCAGTCGCTCATCTCAATGGGAGGAAGCGCAGCCTGATTCGGTTTTACGCAGCCGCAGCTGCAGACTTGCAATTTTTTTGGCAGATGCAGCCCAGAGACCAGCAACACACTTAGGTGACATTCACAGTTTTCAACTGGGCGGCTGTGCCAACTACTGGGTGCGTGGGCATTGAGTGCTTCCAGGGCTTCTTCAGCGCGGCTTCCGTTCTTAACGCAGGCATCTTGGCGAACAAGATTGCTTGCAAGCAGGACGGCTTTCTGATAACATGACAGAAAGATGCTTGATGCAGGCGCTCTTTCCTTCGGCGCAGAGTCAAAAGCCTCTGGATTTTTCCTAAACCTGTGAATCCGAACAAAACCTTAAACTCCCAAACCCGACAAAAACCTTGCGATGCTGCCTCAGCCATGCAAGTGGCAAAACCCGACAAAAACAAACTTAAACCCCTAAACCCATTATCAAGGCTGCTTGATTTGGGCGCTAACCCGGCTGGCTCGGGCATCTCAGAAGATACTGGGCAAAGTTAGCTTTGGATTTGTGCCAAGGCGTAATATGGGTGTTTCCCAAAAGCATGTGTACCTTGAAAGAGGATTGTAGGGGTGACATGAAGGTTATTTAGGGTTAAGGGTTTTCCCAGAATTAGGGGCACCTTTACAGAGGATTATTGGGGCTATATCGGCCGGGCTATATAGGCGTTGTTCAGGGCTACCGTCTTGGGGTCCCAATTAATACTACTGGGGTCTATATTCTTCAGGAAGCATTGCGTCAGGCTGAAAGTTGTTCACAGCAACATTCTCAGGGTTTCGCCGACGTCCTTGCGGGCCAGAAAACTCTGAGCCTTGGCAAAGACCAGGCGGGACCGTGAATATATCTGGGTTTGGCGTATTTTGCATCATTTTGCATGGGAGCCGGGGCCCGCGAGTTAGTTAGTGTTGTGGGCGAGCAGGATTGTATGAACAGGGTCATGGTTCACCTTGCCCCACATTCTGGGAGGCGATCCCTTAGCTCTTCACATTGAGGGGTCAGTGATTGTGTGCCATGAAGCCACCATTGCTATTACCTCCCGTTTTAGCCTGGCGCTGGGGCGTTAGGCGAGCGTATTCCGAAGTGACTCCAGCTGCATGCCTCACACTGGTAGGCTCCCAGACGCTCGCGGCAATTAATGCAATCCGTTTCCCATGATTCGAGCAAAGCAGGTGTCCTGGCTCCCAGACATGGGGTCTGGCCCAAGTGGCATTCTGACTGCAAGCCACTCGAGCATGTAATACTTGTACAACTCGTAGTATGTAACAATGGCGACTGATTAGTATTATCATAGTCTGCGAATGCTTGCAGGTGCCCACCTTGTGCTGCTGAGGGACTGGTTAACGTCAAAACGCCTGTCAGCGAGACTTTGGCGTATGCTTGGCCTGCTAAGCCGCTATGGTGGCGTGCGTCGGTGACGTTGTCATCAGACCCCACCATCTGAGGCATTTGATAAAACTTTTCAACTGGCCTTGCTGGCAAAAGCCACGACATGATCTGGGGAGCAAGATGGGCAGGAAAAGGCGCTAGTGAGAATTCCGAATTGCAGTAAAAGGCGCTAGTGAGAATTCCGAATTGCAGTGGAATCAAAGCCAAAAAAAGCTTCAAGCCTTCCAGACATTCTTCCACCCAGGTAGGTTGTCGTGACCTCCTACCTGGAGTAATGGTTCAGTTCCAGGTCTATGAGGACTGGCAGAGGGATCAAGGCGTTTGCAGTTGGGGGACTTGTTGAACATGCTCAGCAATACTGGCTATGTGCTTTCGTTTGTGTTCCAAGCTCAAGCTTCACCTTGACGATGCAGCGTGCCTCGAATGGCCTTGTTGAAAGCACGCCCAGAAGGATCATGAAATACTGAGTGAGCAGACAATGGGGATCATGGACTTCTGGAGGTCCTTCATACATAGAAGGTCCCGCCGAACTTACCACAGGACGACTCCGGACTGGGAGCACAGAGCTGCTCCGTGTGGAACCCGATGATGCCCTTCAAAGGAGGCGGGCTTCGGAATGGGAGAATTTCGAAACGTTGATAACCTCTGGCGGCACAGGAACACAGTCGACGTTACCTGCTTGTTTATTGCAATCTTAATCTTGTGACTGCTGCTGCTTTTCCAGCTTTGAACTTGCAGCATGTATAAGGCAAGAACAGTCATACCCTGTCACGCAAATCCAAAAATTTTGCGTCCTGGTTGCACACATGGGCAGGGTATGCTCACAGAGATTCAGTATTTGCGAAGTCTTGCGACAGCCATCCCACCCTGTTCCGTCATAACAGCTGCAATACCTACCTCAGAATACTGCTGTAGATCCTACAGGGTTGTAGGAGGTCGGGGACAAAGCCATTGACCCATTTCAAACAAGGCTGGGTGCCTGGCAAGGGATATGGCAAGAAAGGAAAAGGCCATCCCCTCAGAGCTTTGCATGCATCTGATGTCTGAGAGATCCATGTTTTCCTTTGTGTTCAGCAGACAGGCCCCACATCTGCGACCAAGGCAAGGGAAAGGATGGCAAAGAGCAGTGGCCCAACACGCTGCTCATCCTTTTTGTCTTGCAAAACTGGGGTGGAAGCTGCTGATAATAGCTGATATCTCCATTCACTGTTTTCATATCTTGTGGCCCAGCACTAGCAAAGATGCTTGCGATACTGTGGCCGTTGCTGAGGTCTGCCCAGGAGGCCAAAGACGCCACAGGCACAGCACCGAGTCTTTCAGTGCCACTGAGATCCTGGTATCCGCGGCAAATCTGCCCGCCTATAGAAATGCTGAATTAGTCTGACCATAGGACCAAGTCAGGAAACAACCGGTACTCCAGTTATCAGAAGTGCCGCGGTGTGCACCTCATACAGAGCAATCGGGGTCTCTGCAGCGGCCATCCCAGGCCCTGCCGCCGGCTCTTCCCAGGCTCCTCCTTCAGGCCCCTTTTGGGAAGCTGTGGCTACAGTAGCGTTGTGGCTCAGGGTTTCTCGGCACCGTTCTGCACCTTGCAAGTCTTCTCGGCATGGGAGAAGGCTGCGTGAAGAGCATTCGGCATGTAACAGCTTTGAGGGCCCCTCCATAAATTCCTGAAACACAGCCGCTCTGTTTGCGACGAACCTCTTGGCAATGCCCCTTCTTTGTTTGTGTTTACGATGCAGATGAATTTTTCAGAACAGACCTGACAATGAAATCCTCCCGAGGTTTCAAGGTTTCGAGGTTTCGAGGTTTCGAGGCCGAGGTTTCGAGGTTTCGAGGTTTCGAGGCCGAGGCTTCGAGGTTTCGAGGTTTCGAGGCCGAGGTTTCGAGGCTTCGAGGTTTCGAGGCCGAGGTTTCGAGGTTTCGAGGTTTCGAGGCCGAGGTTTTGAGGTTTCGAGGCCGAGGTTTCGAGGTTTCGAGGTTTCGAGGTTTCGATGTTTCGA